TCTTTTTCCACACACCAATGTCGATTGCTTCTTGAATGAGTTTTAAGATCATTTCCATTGTTTCAATTGACAATTCTTTTGTTGAAGACATGTTTCTTTTGAATTAGGTATGCCTAAATGCATGGTGAGGTTTGTACGAACTCCCTTTTAACTATATATCTAGGCTTCTGCTGCTATTTCTTTTAGGAATGCAAATTAAAAGATCATTCCATGATTTTTTATTCAAAACTGGGTTATTCAATTACATGATTTGAAAAAATTATACTATTAAGTTAAATAATTAAATTTAGTTTGTGTAAGGCACATTATTGAAGTCAAAGTGTAAGCTATTAAATAAAAAACCTACTTGAAAATTCTCTAAGTGGGCTAATTCCATATTTCTTGGCAGGATTAGAATACATTTGCGTAATTTGTCACTATGTCTATTTTTAATATGATATAACTAGCTTCTTTGCACAGGGAATCAAAGAGAATTTATGTCGCTAACATTTTTCCATACAATATCAAGTAATGCTAGCGGGTCCATCAAAAATTTGTCGTCTTCAGACAGCGAAAAATGTAAACATATTAATCCTGATCGAAATGCATGTATGTAAGCAGTTGAGAAGTAATCAGCTGTTGTCAACCTTTATGCATATAGAAATAAATATAGTCATTCACACATACAAGCACACACACACATGTATTCTACTATTATCTTCCTGCATTTGCGTGTGTAAATAAAAAGTAAACAGAAAAATAGTCTGATGTCGGATATAAGAAGTATTAGCATTTCTTTTCTCAATGACTAGAGAAAATATACGGCACTTATGTGCACACACACACAAGAGATAGATAGATAGATAGATAGATAGATAATTTGATAAATAGATAGCTAAAGAGAGAGAAGAACGTATATGTATATATATTATATATCTTAAAAAAAAATTAGAAAGGGTATTTTTGCATTTGTTGAGAATATCATAATTTATAATAAAAATAATAGTTTATTTACACGTCACCTCATATTCAGAAGGGATCATGTTATTTAAAAATATGCACACACACACACACACACACACACAGAGGCGCGCGCACACACACATACATATATATATACGCATAATAATTCATATTTATAAATTGGAATATATATATATATATTTATTTATTTATACATGAAACACACACACACACACACACATATATATATATATGTAAGTTTGTATGCGGATACGTACAATTTAAACGCAATAATACTTAACACAATCAGTTCATCCTCTCCTCAACTTGTTTGTTTATTTATTTATTTCTACACAAGTCAACATGTGCACACACACACACACGCACATACACTCAATATATATATATATATATATATATATATATATATATATATATATATATATAATAAAAAGGCTTAAACACTAATATTCCATGGTCATAATTTATTCCATTGGAATCGTAAATACGAACCAATTCATCAGACCTACAAATTCAAAAAGAAAACAGAAAAAACAACTCCGGAAATAAAAACAGAATTTAGAGAGAGTCTAGAGAAGGAGGGAGATTAAACCTTAACAGAGAGAATTTTAGGAGAGGTGAGTGGAAAAGGTTTAAGTAAGAGAGATATGAATGTTGTCGGATGTCTAATGCATAAAGATACATTTCGTGGTGACATACACACACCATAGACGATTTAACGTCAGAATAAGAGGGAGGGAAAGACGAGGTGGCGAAGGAAAGTAAAATTGCATTTATTGAAAGGGCCGCTGTGTAATTGAGAAAATTTGACAAATTTAATATCGACTACAGGCTACAAATCAAATATAAACATATAAAAAATATAACGATTATCTAATCTAGCAAGGACCTATATTTCTATGTTCAAAAACACATGCGAATATACACATACACAATAACATATACACGTATATACATACACATAGGCGTGTACCCACATGCACACATACATATACCATATATATATATATATATATATATATATATATGAATAAAATAAAAAACTATTGTCTTACAGATATATTGTATCTAAAAATGACATATATATATATATATATATATATATATATATATATATATATATATATATGTATTCATACATGTTTCATTAAATAATATAGACAAGTGTTGTCTATTTTATGTAAATTCTTTTCATAACGTCTGATAAGCTTTATAACATTATCATTAAACGAAGAAAGAAAATCACTTGTCTATATTATTTAATGAAACATGTATGAATGAAAAAATGCTGCCTAAATACACACAATATATATATATATTATCTATCTATCTATCTATATATATATATATATAAACCCCACATAAATTCTCATATACGCATTATTTATTTTATCGTATACATTTTGTCTATGTCTCCGTGTGTGCATGAGAGAGAAAGAGATCGGGCAAGGCAGAAAGAGAGAAACGATCTAATTTATAAAATATCACTAGCTGAGCTTTACTGTTCAATATAAAAAAAACTGCAATAGCTTTACTGCAGACAAATTGATTGGCTACTCGGAAATGATCCTCTTGCCATTCTCTACTTGCTCGCGTTCTTCTCAACTTGTACCCATCGCCCATCCCAATCAAAGCAGCTATCTTAATCTGCAGTCTGAATTACCCGCACCTCAACTTTAAATTTGCCCCTGTATTCTTGTTCTTTACATTATTATTTCTCTTATTTTTCTTTCTTCGTTTTCATTTTCTAGCTCTGATTTTTCGCTTTGATTTCGATTTTTTCTTTTCAAACTTACTACTTTTTCTCCTCAGAAAGATTTATCTCTCAATATTCTTGAATTCGCTCTTTCTCTCATCCATTTTTCTATTGCTACGTTTTCTCGACTTTTGTTTCCATTGCCCAATTATTTTGTTTCTCTTTCATTTTCTGCTTTCTTACTTTGTGTCACAAAGCCTTTCTTTCAGTTTTTACTCCCTCTTGCACTCTATCTCTTTATATATATATATATATATATATATATATATATATATATATATATATATATATATATATATATATATATAGTTGTATATTTAGGCAGCAATCCTTCGTTTATGCAAGTTTCATTAAAAACGACAGACAAGGTACTACGGTTAAGCTTTTTTATTTAATTTTTCTTGTGTTCGAACAAGAGCTTTCTTTTCTGGACAAAGGGTGTGTAAGAACTGTCCAAATGTTTTATATTTCCGAGCGCTTTCGGCTATAGCTTTAGCCATTATCAAGGATGATTCGATTTTTCAGCTTACTTGAGTATGTACGTTATGTGTTTGTCTTAGTGTGTGGTAGGGATGTTTTTAATTTCCGAATACGGTTAGCACATTGTGGCTTTGTTCGTAGTTAATATTGTTAAGAGTTGGCCTTTTCTTTTTTATTATTAAAGCTTCCATTATTTTTAATCTTTTTTTGCAGGTGGATGCAATTAATGTATTAGTGTTTTCTACTAGTATGTTTCTAATGGAGTCTGGTAAATTTTTGTGTGTGTTTAAATGGGTTCTAATGGAGTTGTGATCAGATAGGTGTAACGTAAGACGTCTGGATAAGCATGTATTTGTGTAACCGATGTAATTATTTATGAGCCCGGTTTGATCAGGAACACAGTTCCTTAAGAGGCATTTGAACTCATAGATAATATTCGTTCTTTGTAATTTTGTCTTAGTTGGTGTGTTGTTAGTTTTGAGGATAAGGTTAGCTGTCTTAAATTTTTTATAATAGATAATTAATTTGATTTTTTTATTAATTTGTTATTTATACACATACATATGCAAAATATATAAATATATATACATAGGTGCATACACATACATGTATATTTTTTGAATAAGAAATTCCAAGAGGATAGAATCCAGGTAGAACTCAATGTCGAGGACAGAGTAAGGATATAATAAAAAGGCTTAAACACTAATATTCCATGGTCATAATTTATTCCACTGGAATCGTAAATACGATCCAATTCATCAGACCTACAAATTCAAAAAGAAAATAGAAAAAACAACTCCGGAAATAAAAATAGAATTTAGAGAGAGTGTCAGTATGAGAGTGTGGGACGAATGTTAGAGCTAAAGTGAGGGGTAACAAACGAGAGAAGGTGGGAGATTAAACCTTAACAGAGAGGAGTTTTAGAGAGGTGAGTTGAAAATGGTTTAAGTGAGATATTAATTTTGTCAAATTTTCTTAATTACACAGCGGCCCTTTCAGTAAATGCCCTTCAGTTTCAGTCTTCCCCGCCCCATCTCTCTCCCTCACCCCTCAATGGAATAAATTATGACCATGGAATATTAGTGTTTAAGCCATTTTATTATATATATATATATATATATATATATATATATATGTGTGTGTGTGTGTGTGTGTGTATATGTATGTGTGTGTGTATTAATATATATTCTCTTTTCTGGTGTCTTTTTATGATTTTTTAAAGATACATTTAAGTAGATAATTTTACACTTATCTCTAAACGTTAATCTGAATGACAATGCTAAAATGATTCTCCTTTGCTTTCAAACTGAAACTATAACTTGTAACATTGTTGAACTTTGTCTTTCTCTTACGGATTAACTTTCTCTTTTATGGCGTCAGCATCAATGAATTACATCCGAGGTTTTCTTCTATTTGTTTGTTTGCTCTTTTATTTCTCTTACCCGGTCTACAACACCACTTCCCAAACACTTTTATTTATTTTCTTTATCTTTCTTCTTGCGTTACAACCTCACTATATATGTTCTTTTGACTGCAACCATAAATCTGTACCAACAACCGTCTTTTACGTCATCATCTTTCTTTTATTATCTATAATTTTTCTTCTCAATTTCTTTGGCATACTTTCACTTCATATTTATCGACTTCCTAAATATTGTGGATCTGTGAGTAATTGGGAGAAATGTATTCTTTCTCAACTGTTTTCTCCTATTCCTTTATTACTCTCTATATTTTATATATCATGTGTACCCAACTCACAATCTCTATCTATCTATCTATCTATCTATCTATCTATCTATGCTTACGGTCATACCACGTTGAAACATCGGTTCTCGTACAATCACCGAAATTAAGCAACGTTGATCCTGCTCAGTATCTAGATGAGTGACTGCTGAGGAATACCAGGTGCTGTAAACTTGGGTGTGGTAATGGATAAAGGTTTAGAATTAGAAATCGGAGAGCTATTCCAGTCGGTTTCATTATAGTCACTTGCACGCAAATACCCTTGGGGAAGATATGTGGGTAGGACTTGTAGCAGAAAATCATTATTATCTTTCCAAAATTCTTACAAGCTAGAAATATTTTCAGGCTTTATATAAACTGAAAAAGGTTGATAAGCCGTAAAAAACAAATATCTATCTATCTATCTATCTATCTATCTATCTGATACTTTATCTCTTCATACATTCTGCCAAAACCTGAGTTACAGTTTTCACTGCATCAATCGAAATGCGACGACACTTGTAAGATACACCAAATATTTGAATTAACCTTCCCTCTCTTCCGACCAAATTTACACATTTATGATAAAGAGTTATCAATATTTAAAATGTATTATTTCTCAAACGTATACCACGCATCGGCCATTCATTAATAATCATATAGAGAGAAAGATAGATATAGATATTGAGTAACTGTTCTCTTTAAGTTTAACATAATACATAGATAAATAGATATTTCAGTTAAAATAATAACTTCTAAAGATTATTTAAGACGTTCTGCTCTAGTTTTGACCAGTCTGTCTGTGTCACTCTCTATGTCTGTCTAACATTATGTCTTTCTTTCTTTTTTTCTCAGACACACACACGCATAAACTCATAAACTCATGAACTCAGACCAAAAATAGAACATGTAAATTTTAATTCGTTCTTGAAGATTGTATCCCCACACGTTTGTCAGTCAGTTTTATAATCGTCATGGTTAAAGTTATGGCATAGGTAAAATTAGCATAGCAATCCATGGATATAACAAGGCATGCAAAGAAAGAATCCATTTTCTTGAATTTTTACTTCTGACAGTGGAAGTTAAAATCGAATAGAGAGTGACGCTTTGAATTTTATCATAATAGTTTTATGTAATTCAATATGTGAGATTATGTTGATACTTAAAAATAAAATCCTACATAAAAGTGATTTTAAATTACAAACATAGGTGAATCAAACATGCCCATCACTCAGGCGTAAATGTCTCCATTATCACACACACACACGCAGACATATATATGATAAAATATAGTTTTTAACGTATGCTCTATTTATGAGTTAAAGTGCTCAATAACAGGGATAGATAGAGCGTAAGTAAATATAAAAGTGAACATTGAAGTCAATACACAGAGACGACAGTCTCTTTCATGCTAAACGCGATTGCGTTTAGCATGAACAGACTATACATATATATTTGTGTGGTGTGTAAAGGTTTTGATAATCCTGTAGCACTGGATTCTTTAAAAAAAAAAAACTACCTCTACTACTGTTACCCAGTTCTACTCGTCGCATGGTGTGAACATCGGTGACTAAACCGGTTCCCTTTACCAGGTTTTTCTGTTAAAGGGAAAGGGTTGCTAGACATCTAGGAGAATTAAAAACAAAACCTGTCAAAGGGAGAGTAAGCCTTCTTCTAGAGTCAACGACTATCGAGTACAACGGGGATAGACTGGGCACTATAGCTATGTATGCAGCCAGCGCCGTGATGACACGACATCGCTGAGCAGAGGGAAATCAACGGCCAGGACGGACGGTTGCCCCCGATGAATTCAACGGCCATGTGTCCGTAATAAAGGCGAGCCTTCAGGTTGGAGGGCACCAGCTGACTTTGAGGCGTATAGGCTCCACCACATCAACTTGCTAAAGACATAAATGGACACTTTCAATCTAAATATATAGAGGAAACTCGTTAGGTGCTGCGACTACACCTGGTTATGAGACTGATGATAATGAATTAAATTGAAAATGAACACATAATATTGTTGCATTTCTTTCTCTCTCTCTCTCTCGCTCTCTCACTATATCTATATATATATATATATGTGTGTGTGTGTGTGTCTGTGTGTATACACACACACACATATATATATATACTATAATATATATTTATATACATATATACACTATAATATATATGAGCGATGTCAGAATCAAATCTCATGGTGAGATTATCCAATTTCCCTCGTTGATGAACATATAGCAAAAGAATCAAATTAATATTTATTCCTCCCTCGGAAATTGACAACAGTGGGTATCATAGAAAGAGGAAATGAATCCTGAAGGAATCTATTTTCATATTGTCTGTTCTGATTGACCATTTTTACTAGTCATTTTAAGAATCTCAGTTTTGCGTATTTGTCATACTGAGTAAGGTTAGATCTTCAAATCCAAATAGAAAATCAATTCAGTGAAGAGCTTTCCAGAGGCTAGTCAAAAACAGAGGAAGGAATAAAACAATATCATTCAATCTTATAAATGATTACTTATGGCAAACACTATTCCCTCGATTCTCGATAATGTTAATCGTGCCATGAACTGACACGATATAACATTATTACACAATCTTAAAAGTTTCTACCTAATGAACGGTGGCGACTCCGGCGGTCGGGTTTGTCGGGCCTAGCCCGAGTGAGTCAGCATTTACTATATCTACTTCAAAGTAACAAAAATGTTTCGTATTGCGGTGTTTTCGTTCTTGACTTCGATTGAATTCAAAATATTGACCGAAATATATTTCTTTTATATTATCCATAATAAAGAAAGAAAGAAGAAAGAAAGCAGAAAGAAAAAGAAAGAAAGCAGAAAGAAAAAGAAAGAAAGAAAGTAATTAAAAAAGAATGAAATAAAATTAACGTAGCTAGTCCGGCTGGGTAGGCCTGAGTCTAATCGAAGCAGGAGACATACTTAACAGGCAATGTATTTCTGGCTTTAATTTTATAAATAATCTTTCTAAAAATCTCTAATGATCTGTATGTCCTGTTTTACAAAGAACACATTTTTATTTCAACTTATTGTTTCCAAATGTCCATTTTAAATAATTTATTTCGTACAGTATATGTCTTTTTTAGTGGAATGTATCTTAAGAAGGGGCAAATTTAGTGCGACCTTAAATTCGGCGAAAATCAAATAAAGTGGCAGCTTTAACTCGTCAGCTGGAGGGTTGGGGTGAGGAGTGTGACTGGGGTAGAGCTGAGGAAGTACTGATCACAAATTTCTACAATAAATTAAACTAAAAATTCACATCCAAATACATAGACACACTAACGTATAGACATATATACAAACACACACTCGAGATAGATACACACGTTATTAAAAAACAACATGTCTGGCTTTGTCTTCACTCTTTTTCTTACATGTCCTGAAAAAAATGTTCAAATAAATGTTTATTTTTATAGAATTATTAATACTAAGATACCAAAACGTTTTTTTTTTTTTAATTATATATTTTAGTTAGAGTAAAAAGGAATCATTTTAGCATCAAAGTTATATCAATAGTATATTTTGTTAAAGATTCTAATGATCCCGACAAACATTGAGTCGTCACTGTTATTACACCATGGGAGAAGTTATAAATCCTTCGCGGTCAGGTTTCGAAAATTAAATTATCATACATCAGAAGTGTTCCGAAGAAGACACAGAGAATCTGTGGTCTCTACAGCATGAATAAAATATTCAAAAGTGACTCCACTCTACATAGATACCTCAGCATAATAAAACACTCAGTGGAAGACAACATCACCAAGAACTGTTTGCATTGTATCCCATGTAGTTGTGGAAGGGTGCACATGGGGGGAATCAGCCACATAGTACTTGAGGAACATAGAAATGCTCTAATCTGTGGAAAATTTTCATACGAGGTGTTGGTGATAGTCTGTGGAAAGAGAAATATCATACTAATCTGTATGGAATTAAGTCAGATTAATAGACATTGGAGAATAAGAGAGTTGAAGAAATCAGTACACATACTAATCTTACATTGTATAATTATTAGGCTAAACATTGACGAATGAGAAAATGGCCTAAAATGGAGGTATTGCTGAAATTCGTCTAACTGAAATTCACGAGTTCAACACGAACTAGGGAAAATATCTCATGAAGAGAGGCTCCCGTTGTGCGATGTGTATGCTAAATGCAGCTAACTTTGTGTATTAGAAAATGTGACAAATGTAGGATTCAAGAAATTCCAAATCAACGTTATTCATTTTCATTATCCTGAAGATTAAAGTATTTAACCTGACAATTTTAGTAATATCGTAAATGAAACATTTCAGGGCTAAATTTGAAATAATCAAAATAGCAAAATTCTGACAAAATCAATCAATACTCTTGTGCTTTCGGTGATAAAATGTGTTTTCTTTTGGATTTCGGAAAGTTGAAGACCAAAATCAAAGACGAAGCATATTTTTGAAGTGAAATTAAAATTAAATTTTTACATAACCTATGGTCAAAAATGTCCGGTTATGATTTGAAATAAGGAAATAAGATTAAAAAAAGAGTAAATAAAATAGAAATAAGATAGATTAGGGACTACATGAATATTATTAAACGGTCCATCATCAAAATCAGGGATTAAGAAAAAGTTCCTTTTGGACAGTTCTAAATTATTTAACAATTAATTTAAAGCGAATGGATCTTGTATTTTCGTATCGAGAGCGTTTGAAATTATTTGACAGTGTATATTTATCAAATTGCAGATAATTCGAATGAAGTCTTTTGTCTTTGACATATATTATTTCTGACTTTCTCATTCTTATAAACAGAAACTAGTGAAAATTATTAAAGACCTTTTTAGTTTTCAAAAAATGCGCAAATATTTATATTTGCACATTTCAGAATTCTTTCGACACCAGACTGCAGTGATTCAAAACTTCATGGATACAGACATGGATCTGTATCCATGAAGTTTTGAATAATATTAAAAATGTTTTTCAAATTTATAAACGTTAGCAGTTTTACAGCGATTAAAACATCGAGTGCATAGGAAAGTTTACTGTAAAGATAGAAGTTTTACATTTTTAGATTCTATTGTATATAAATACACACATGTAAAGACACGAAAATACACTATCATTTTAGAATTATTTCTCAAACACGCACACACACAGAGTATCTCCCTCTCACACACACTCATATACGCGCATGCGCACA